CCCCCCCCCCCCCCCCCCCGCCCAGCAAAGCTTAAAATGGTTACTATCAGGCCTTTACAGCAAAAGGCTGCTGACCCTTGGATTAGGGAATTGAGAGTGGAAAAGTAGGAGTTCAAGTTAAGGAAATGGGTGGGATTTTCTGGAAAGAAGGAGAGAGGGTGCAGGAGAGGGTCCCCTGTGTGAGAGGAGCATCCAGAGAGGAGGGCGAGGTGCTTCGAGGCCAAGCGAAAGGTGTTTCAGAAGCAAGGGGTGCTTGCTGGCCTCTGTGTCTGTCCAGCTGTGTACCATCCTTTCTGATGGGACACCCGTCCCAGGGCACGGAAGCCCCGTCCTTCCAGAGCTCAGATCCCAAACCTCTGTGTTACCCTTGATACCCCTCTTTTTCTTATACCCTCATCTAATCCATCAGCTAGTCTTGTTGGGTCCACCATCGAGGCAGACCCAGAATGTTCTGGTCCCATCTACCATCAGCTCTCCCTCACGTTGCTGCAGCCCCCCCTGGCTGCCCTCCTTGTTTCTGTCCTCAAATCCCAGCAGCTAAACGTAGGTCAGATCATGCCCCTTCTCTGCTTGGGATCCTACAGGGTATCTCTACTCAGAGTCAAAGTCGAACCCCTGACCATCACTGACAAGGCTCCCCCTCAGTCTGGCCCCAGTCATCTCTCTGGCCCCATCTCCCATCATGCTCCACTCCAGCCACATGGTTCTCCGCGGTGTTCCTTGAACATCCAAAGCACTCTCTCACATTGCAGTGGTTCTCAACCTTCTGGCCCTTTAAAACAGTTCCTCCTGTTGTGACCCAACCATAAAATTATTTTCGTTGCTACTTCATAACTGTAATGTTGCTACTGTTATAAATCGTAATGTAAATATCTGATATGCAGGATGGTCTTAGGCCACCCCTGTGAAAGGGTTGTTCGACCGCCAAAGGGGTCGTGACCCACAGGTTGAGAACCGCTGCATTAGGGCCTTTGCACCTGCTGTTCTCTCTGCTTGTATAGCTCTTTCTCAGGAGTCCACATGCTCCATCCCTCACTTTTACCAGGCCTCGACTTACATGTTTTCTTCATGTTTCCACCTAACCCTGCACAGCAACCCTGCTCACACTCTACACCCTAGGCCCTTCCCCTGCTTTATTATTCTTCATAGCACATGACACCATCTGATAGGTGATATATTTTACTCATCTGCTTACTGAATATCTGTCTCCCACCCCCACGCTCATTAGAATGAAAGATCCATGGGAGCAGGGGCTGGGCTTTGTTCATTGCTGTGTCCCAAAGCCTAGAACACTGCTGGTATAACGTAGCCTTGCAGTACATGTGAGTGGAATGAGTGAATGAATGAATGAATGAATGAATGAAAATAAGGACTGAAAAGCTGCCACTGGATTAGGCAACAGGGCAAGTGATGACTGGTGTCCTTGAGGAAGGCAGTATTGGTGGAGAAAATGGGAACAGAAGGCAGATTTCAAGTGGAGGAGGAAGCGAGCGGGAGGAGAGAAAGCCGTGGAGGTGCAGACAACTCCTCCAGGAAGCTTGACTGGAAGGGGGAGAAGGGAGGCCGGGTAAAGCCCGAGGTGGAGGAGTATTTGTTTTGAATGCCAGTGTGACAGCTGGGAAGTTGGGCTCTGGAGACAGGACAGTGAGCTGTCCCTCATTCTGATAAGGCAGATGTGGCCCCGTCGTAACAGCTTCACCCAGC